AAGTACAGTGGGAAGGAGAAGGAGTGATAACACATGTGAACACCCAAAAACACATACTAATGTTTAACAGTGGTTGGCACTGTTTTGGTTGGCAGTAAGGGCATAGGAGGGGACCCTGTTCAGCCACTATTTACTGAAATGGTAGTAACCTTGGTAGAAGGAAGACTTACACACAGATCAATTTCGGTAGCAGGGGTTTGTGAATAGACTTTTATGGAGATGTTTGTGGAGCACTTAATATGTATAAGACCTTGTGCTAGGCCTGACAGGTAATACCAGGTCGTAGTGTCTGCCATTGAAGAATTCCTAGCATAATTTGAGAAAGTAGCCAAATATGTAGTTATAGTATAAGTGACATCTATAAGTGCTGTGAGAATAATGCCTAGGAAGAGATTCTTCAAGCTGTGATCATTAGAAACTAGAATGGTTGGTTTTATATGGGAAAATGGGATGTCAACTGATGTTCAGATCTTCTGCACAGTCCCTGTCTTATGACTGTAAAAAAGAAACATCCACCATATAATGCTGAGGAGCAATGTATAAGTTCAGAACAGAACCTTTCTTTTTCTAAAACCTGCATTTTTAAAAAGTATTTTCACTTGGTAAAGAATTCTATCTTTACAGTTTTCCCCCCAGTTCTTTAAAGATGTTGATATACTGGTTTGCATTGTTTCTGAGGAGAAGTCTACTATGATTTGTTGTTCACCTGTATATAATATTATCTTTTCTTCCAGATGCTTTTAACATTTTTATCTATCACCAGTTTCAAACAATTTGAACATGATGTGTCCTGATGTAGATTTCATTGTGTTTCTTGAGTTTGGGTCTGTGAGCTTCTTGGATCTCTGGGTTTATACTTTTCATTAAATTTGGGGAAATTTTGGCTACTATTTCTTCAGTTTTTTTCTATTCCCACCCCCCACATCTTCCAGAGACTCCAATTTTATATATATATAAAGTTGTTTGAAGTTCTGTAGTTCTGTTAATTTTTTCTTTTTTGTGTGTGTTTCTCTTTAGATAATTTCCATAGGTATGTCTTCCAGTTTATTAATCTTCTCTTCTGCAATGTCTAATTTCCTGTTAATCTTATCCAAAGTAGCTTTCGTCTCAGACATTACAATTCTTATCACTGGAACTCCAATGTGAGTCTTTGTATGTCTTCTCTATCTTTATTTAATGCTTATCTTTGCTCAGTCTATTCTCTAACTTCTTGAATGAACATATGGAGTACAGTTATAACTGTTTTACTGTCTTTAATCTTATGATCTGTGTTATTTCTGATTGATTGATTTTTCTCCTCATTATGTGTCCTGTTTTCTTCTTTGCATGCCTGGTTACTTTTGATTGAATGTTGGACATGGTGAATTTTATCTTCTTGAGTGCTGGATATTTTAATATTCCTATAAATATTCTTGAACTTTGTTCTGGGATGTATTTATGTTACCTGGCAATAGTTTGATCCTTTTTGATCTTGTTTTTAAGCTTTTTAGGCCAGACTAGAAGAGCATTTATTCTAGGACTAATTTTTCTTCTACTAAGGTAGAACTTTTCTAAGTATTCTCTCCATTTCCTTGTAAAATATGAAATATGTTGTTGGGAACAGGAATTGTTTCTGGTCCTATGTGAGGCCCAAATATTGTTTCCTTCAGTTCTGAAGGGGGATTCTCCCCTGGCCTCAGCCGGTTTCCTCACATTCATGTGCTGGTTAGTCCTCAGCTGAAGACTTGGCAGGATGGTTAGGGAGCCCCCATCTATAGATCTCACTGTTCTCTTTCTGTGCCACCCTCTCCTCTCTAGTGCACTACACTGTGAACTCCAGCCTCTTTGGCCTCCTCAGACTATCAGCTCGTCTCTTCAAGTGAGGGTAACCCCTGGGCTCTGCTTGGGTTCCCCTTCCCTGCACCGTGGCCTGAAAATTACCTCGAGATAATAAGCCAGGGCAGATGAAGGGCCTTCTTTGTTTCCTCTCTCTCATGGACCATTGTCCTTCATTGCCTAAAGTCCAATGTCTTGAAAACTGTTGTTTGATATAGTCTGTATTTTTTTATTTGTTTCAGTTGGGAAGGTAAATCTATCCGTGTTATTCCGTCTTGGCCAGAAGCAGATGTCCTCCCAGAATAGAGCTTTTACTCCTCATACTCATTTCTGTCATGGGGAAATTAAGTGGGTCTGGCTTTACCGTTTCCCTTCATTATCCTCCTTTTCAGAGCTTTGCAAGTACTTCTTATAGGAAATGAATTTAATATTTATTGAGTGTCTCCCATGTGCTATGCTATACATTAGTTGTAAAAATGAATAGGCTTGGTCTCTGCACCAGATGGGCTTCAGGTCTAGTAAGGGAGACAGACAAGGTTCTTGTTGCTCTAATTAAACGTAGAATATGTTTTTAAATATCTAAGGTGCTGCCACAATGGAGAGTGACATGTACATTTGTAAATTCTGTCTCCTAACTGTGACCAGTTTGTCCACCCTTTCCTGGACGTCTATAATCCTCCCGTTGAAGGGGGAGGATTGTATCTGTGGTCTTGGTTCCCCAACTATCCTGGATTTATCTTCTTCCCATATGACCTTTTCTTCCTACCTGAGCTTTGGTCTGTTGTTAGATCTGATTTCATTTTTCTCTTTTACTTTCACCAGTATAAGAACGTGAAAGACTGAAATATAAAAGAGTAGTTGCATTTTCTGTTGGTAGATGAGTATTTTCAATGAGTTCGTACATTTTCAAAAGTAAAATTTAATTAGTTGTTGGGAAGGGAAGAGGAGGGAGGGTGAAGGGTAGCAGAAGACCATAACTACAGTTAATACATCTCACCTACATTGTTCCAAAGGAATCCTTTGGGTGATGAGTGAGGTCACCTGTCCTTTGATTTGTTTGGATTAAGTTGAGGGTTGTTTATGTCATCCAGTAATACTCCTCTTTCTGTGACTGAGCAATAGGAAGATGTGAGTAATGCCAGTGTGCACTGACTAGGCCGGGTGCGTAGAGCATTGCCTGAAAAGTGAAAGCTTCAGGTCCCCATGGGCTTGAGCTCCGGTGGTGGAATTTTTTCTTTTATTCTGGTCAGCTGTTGTGACCAGAACCTTTCTTGGAAAGACAGCCTCTGTTTAGATAACCGTTAACTCATGTGATCTCTCTGGTGCCTGTGGTAGCTCTGGAGAGCCCTGCTTCTCCGCAGGGAGCTCATTGATGTGCTTTCAGACAGTGTATCCTCATTCAAGAGAACATGCCGTCTTGTTCTGTGTGGTATCTTATAAGACACACTGCTGTGTCAGTTTTTAAGCTTCTGGTTCCAGATGTCTCTAGCAGACCTACTTTTTCTCAGACGCTTGGCCAGTGTACATGTATGAATAGCCTTTCTGTCCTGCAGGGGCTGTGAGAAGCTCTGCCTGAGTGGGCGAGAGTTAAGCAGCATTTACTGAGCAGGCCCTCTGTGAGGCACCGATTGTGCTGTTTACCGGGACTGTGCAAGACATTGTGCCGACCTCAAAGGGGCTGACGGTCCGCAGAGGAAGTAATGGAGGTGAATTCAGCCGCCCACTTAGGAAGACCACAAAAGAAAATTAGAAGATAAGCAGAGCAGTCAGTGTTTTGAGTCCTGTTTCTTCAGGCTTCTCGGTTAGGATGGTGGCTTGAGTGACCAAGCGGCTGGCATCCCACCATTTATAGACATGTTCTATTTTAAGATCAAGTTTGTGGTTTGGGAAGGATGTATAATCATTTTCAACAAATGCTTATTGAGTGTGCAAGTATCATGGTAGGCACAGAGAAGACTGCAAATGTAAGGCTGTATCCTCAGCTCTGGGGAACTGCTCATACTAGAAAAGGCATGGCATATTTAAGATTTTAAAAATCTTAATAAGATATAAGTTTCATAAGAGAAAAGCATCAAGCATCAAAAAATCGTCAACATTAGCAGAAATATATACTAAACCATTGACCCTTCTGGGTGGTGGGGCGTGTGGCGGGGGAGGGAAAGGATCTTCACTTCTTATTATATACATTTCTGTCTGGTTGGAAATTTTTACCAAATGCCAGTATTGCCTTTTTGGTATTATTTCTTCATCAGTTAAAGAAGTGATATAGGGCAGAGGGTATAGCTCAGTGGTAGAACGCGTGCACGAGGGGCTGGGTTCAATCCCCAGTACTGCCATTAAAAAAAAAAGTGATAGAGACTAATAGATTATCCACATAATGTTAACCTTTAATATCTCTGTGTGATAGGATTACGAATGATTTACATTTTCCTTACCATACCTCTCTATTATCGTCTACATTTCCCCCAATGGATATATATTATTTTGCAAATAGGTAAGAAAGTATTTGAAAACCAAAACTCAAAAGCACCTACAATAATTATCATAACTGTATTTCAACATGCTTACCATATTTTGGATATAATATACCATCTTTCCCTTTTTTGTCTCCTCATTCTCACTGCAAGTCTATTAAGGTTGTTCTGTTACTATTATTTTTATTATTAAATAAAAAGGTGAGCAAAGCCAATTACTCTTGCTTCTGTCCTTTGTCATTCTGAGTGAGTTAGCCTAGAAGCAAAAGGAGTCTAGCTATTAGCTATTCAGCTATACTGTGAAGGCTGCCTAGAAAAAGTGGAATTATGCTGATTGGGTTACAATTATATCTGTCATTGTGGGCTGTGATCTCTTGTTTTAAAATATCCTAAGAATACTTTCTATGTCGTTATATTTAGTTCTGGTGGAGAAAGCAGTTAGATTATCCCATCTCCCCATCTGGTGCAGTGAAGAAAACTCATCTGTTTGGCTTGCTTTGTATGAGAGAGAATTAAAACTTCCAAGTTATTTGTAATTCAGGTTAAGTAGTTAAATCCTGTTTCTTCCAAATTTTGTTCCAGGAATTCCTATCCCCTTATAATTATAAACTTAATTACTTTGAAAGCAATAGTGTTCTGAATTATTTAAGGAAGTCAAAGATTGCAGAGGAGATGTCGTTTCTAAATGATCTTTTTTTTTTCCCCTTATAGCATGTGTTTGATGATCTCAGTGGCTCAGTATCCTTGTCCTGGGTTGGAGATACCACTGGGGTAAGTAATATTTTGAGTCTGTTAACTCAGCCTAGCAAGAAGGTGGTGCAGATTTGGGGAGTTTAAGTACTGAATGTTGCTATTTTGTGAAATTGTCTCCGACCTCAATCGTGGAAAATACATGTTTGCAGGGCAGACATTCTGAAAGCTGTGGTTGGTTTGGTTTTACTCTAGAACTGGGAGTAGCATGTGACCACTTTCTTCCATAATAGGAAGATAGGCACGTATTTAGTCCTTGGTGGCTACTTGGCATCAAGATGAACAAGAAGAAGAAAGAGGAAAGAGAGTGCTATGTGTGAGGAAGAAGGGAACCTTACAATACTTGGGAAAACCTCTATGTGGAAGTGGAAAACTGCATATTACACAGTGTGACATTTTCCCTCCAAACTATATTGGTCCTGTGTCCTTTCCCACAGTTAGTGTTAAAGGACTGTGGTGCTCAGGTCTCATCGTTGTTCAGCTCCATCTGTTGTCCCTTCCCCTACCACAAAGCAGATGCTACCTGGATCGGGGGAATGGAAGGAGAGTCAGTCTGCTCCTTCCTTCTCCCTCCCAGTCTGTAGCCCATCTCCCAGGAGGAGGGATGCTGAAGATTCACTGGCCTCAAGTCTTGGATCAGGGCTTGACTGTTACCTGGCTCTGATTATCCTGACTGAACAAGGGCAGGGGCCGCAACTCATACCTTCTAGTGTTCCAGTAGCGTGTGTATCATAGCATTGACGCACATGATGGCTATATTAGGAGCCGAAAGAAATGTAATTTTGGTGCTGAAGAGCAAGTTTATAAATATCTTATTTTAATTAATTTTAAACTCCTGGTAGGATTTCTTTAAGCATGTTTCATTTTCTTCTAGAATTTGAGTTGTTCCCTAATTTCCATGATTTATTCATTTATCTAAGATAGTTGGTGTCTCCAAAATGTCTTGTTATATGCCTGTTTTGAGTCTCTAGCCTCTTGTTCTAATCTATCAGAATCTTATCCTCCTGCATATTTTTTTCTAGAAAAGTACTTATTTAAAAAATTAATTTCATGAAGAACTAACAGCAGGGAGCAGAAGAAAAGGACAGATGTGACATAGTGACCACTTTTGGAGCACCCACTCTCTGCTAGCCTCTGTAAGCAGGAAGCGAGATGGTTCTTGCCTGGGAGTATCTCACAGTATCACAGTATCTCACAATAATGTGGATACAAAATAGTTAAATCCTTACTTTACTTTAATGTGGAGTTGTTGAGCTCCATCTCACTGCTTCAGGTGTAGGCAGTGGGACCATCTCAGCAAAAAGAGTTGAGATTTTGAATCATAGTAAGCCCCAATCACTTGGTCTTTCTTGGTTTTCAGATGTGTTACACTCTAGGCTACTACAAAGCAGGGCTATTGCCAGTCTTTCAGACGTTGATTTAATGCCATCACATGTTAGCATGTAATTGGACTATCTTTTTTATTGACCACATGCTTTTTGTCTCTCCAGATCATTCTAGTCTTGACTACCTTCCATGTACCACTGGTAATTATGACTTTTGGACAGTCCAAGCTGTATCGAAGGTGAGATTCGTAACATATGACTGGGACATTTGATCAAGTAACACATTGTGAATGGAAGTTCTCTACTTTTCTAGACATGATGGGGTCTAACAGTTGATTTAAAAGATCTTTAGTCATCTTAAATTTTCGTGAGACCTTCACACTCAGCACACTTTTTAGTATTTACCTAGAAACCTAAAAAAGTTAGAAAAAGGATCTAGTTCCAAGGAAATTAGGTTGACTTGACTGAGTAGCAGAACAGTAAAGGGAGATGAAGGAAGAATGTACAAGGATGTGTGTTTATTAATTTAAATGGATATTTATTTGTGGGGAGGTAGCATAGAGTTTAACCATCTTTCTGTTATGTGCACAAAGTGGTTTTTATACCCCTGAAGTAGCAATCCTTACTGGGCCTTCCAAGTGAATATTATTTATCTAACACTTTGGGCCCCAGATAGATTGTTTCTAGATCAGGAGGAAGTTCTCAGGTCAGACCTACCAAAGTGCCTGACAATAATGGTGATAATGTATGTTCTGGAACCATAGTCTATACTGTGACATTCACAGAGTTTTAGAGTTGTCTTCTCAAAGGTACAGCTTGGTTAAATCGAGGTGTTTTTTTTTTTTTCCCTTACCCATAAGATTCATAACCAGCTAACTCTCAGAAGTTGCTGATTGTTTTCTCAGTCATTTGTGTCTATCCCATTTTTCCCCTAGGGACCTAAAGAAATATGACATCCCAGGAGATAACATAGAAACTACCGTCAGGGCCAAAGGATCTCCCAGGAGCCTTCATACTTTCTCAGGGTTCTTTATTTGACTTTTGGTCTTGGCCAAAGTGGGAATGAACCCTTGTTGAAGCTCTGATATGGATCAGCTCAACCTCCCTTCCCCAATAGGTGTGACCCTTGACTGCTGCTCCTGAGCCTGGAGCCAGTGCTCCCTTCCTTTCAACACAGTGACAATGGCTTAAAAATAGGGCAAGGAGTTGCCATCTTGGAATTGTTGTAAGCTCCATGAAGGTGAGGCTCTTGACTAACGTGGGGTTCTCCAGCATCTAGCCAGACGATTGACACATAGCAGGCAAGCAGTACATACTGATTGAATGAATGAATGCCTTAGCTTCTCTAGTAACTCTTAGATTAATAATATTTTTGTTTGTTTGATAAGGACTGACAAGGTATTACAGAATACTGTTCTAGAAGGCACCATAAATTATAGCTGATTCATAGGTGATATTAGAACAGTAGCTGAATCATTTCAGACAGATGAAAAGTATTCTGTTTTGGAAGAAAAAAATGCATAAAAAATTTTTGTAACTTTATTAACTCTTTCTAGTGTTTAAGAAACTTTGCTTTCATAAAATCTTTCTTTATGATACAGTTTTTCTTTCCAACTCACCTTTCATTAAAAAGGCAATACAACCATATTATAAAACATTTGGAGATTTAAAAAGAAAAAAAAAACTCACCGTAAAGACAAGTAATCTTATTTTATTTACAGTCTATTATTTTGATTTTCCACTCTAATGTTATGTCATATGGCTATCTAGCCTTGGGAAGCAACCATGGTACAGTGTAAAGTTGCCAGATTTTGTTGGCAGATAGGCCTGGGATTGAATCTCAGCATTGTCATTTGTAAGCAGAATGAACTTGGGCAAGTCATTTAACCTCCCTGAGTCTTTTTTTGTCATCTGTAAAAGAAAGCTAATGGCCACCCTGGAGCTGTTGTGAGTTATGTTTTGCAGTGCCTGCCATGGAGTAAGAACGTGGTGCTATTAGTTACTGCCTTGCCAACAGCCAGGGATGGCACATAGCCAGTGTGTGCTGGCATTGTGGTACCAGTTTCTAAAATGAATTGAAAGCCTTCCATACCAGTTGAAGAAAAGTGATTGCCTGCCCCTAGATGCCTCCATGACTTCTACTAATGCACACATCCCCCCAGTCCCTGCCAACATGCAAGTGTTACTGACATCCGGCATTATGAACTATAACTGTTCTGACTGGTTAGTGCTCATACCATAATACATTTCACATTCCCTCTGCTAGTAATCCATCATTTTTGTTAGACAGACCGAATGTACTTATTGGACACTTAAATTGTAGCTAACTTTTTCACTATTATTAATGCTGCTGTGATGAATATCACACATATGTGTTGTAGAAGATGCCAATTTCCAGTTTATCTTCTGGTAGCAAATAAAAACCTCCTCTCTGATCCTTGCTTGTTTTGAACACTGCTTACTAAACTCCTCCTTCTACTGGTTGAATTATCTTCTAAACCTGTTGCTTCAGCCACTTTCGCTTGCCTTCTGAATTCACTTTTTTAGTCTCTATATTGCTCTTTAATCATGTGTCTAGAACTGGACTAGACAGGTTCCTGAGTCACACCCATGGGGAGTGAAATGTGTTTGCACACATTTTTTCCCATCCTTGTGCTTACTTTGAAACGATCAAAAACAAAATGATATCACTATGTTACTATTTAAATACCTACCACCATCTGACTCAGCCATTTTCCATCCTATATTTGTATTGTCATGTGAGAAATCCCTCACATATACTTTACCAGAGAGTCATCCTACTTGTTTCTGGTATGGTATCATGTTACTAAGGTTCTTTTTCTTCATGTTGTACAGCAGGCTTGTTTATTTTTACCAAGGTCATTTTGAATATTAATTACTTCCTCCCTACTGTGAAGTGAAAACTCTCCCAGAGTTTATGTGGAAACTGTAAATATGCCTGTTGCCTCTCCAGCTGGGCTGGCCTGGCTTGATCTGAAGTGACTCATGTTGTTGGACACACCAGCCAAGAGGCACATGTTGCTTCAGAAATGGGAGAGGGAGGGGGCAGTTTGACTGCAGTGAGTCCTGAGTGTGCTGAGCTTGCCCAGCTGAGAAGTGAGAGAAAAGCCTGTCGAATTTGCTCTGAGGACTCTTCTATTTTTCATAGCTTCAACAACTATATTATTTGTTGGATTATCTTTCTCAGCTAAGTCTTGTGTGGTCAAAGTTTCGTCTGGGATTCAAATAAAAGGCAGCTAATCACATGCCATCTTCTGTGAGTAGTACCGCATGGAGGCTCACAAGAAGAGAAGGACATTGTCTCTGTTGCATGTGCGGACTTAGACAGCGAATACTTAGGTCATTAGGTTGTGACAATGGATTGTTGAAAGATTTTGGAAATAGTAAGTAAAGTCCCTAGGCATTAAGGATTGTGTAAAGTTGAGTAATACATTAATATTTTCAATTTAAAGGAGTGATGTTTGAATAGTATAAATTTTGATTCTCTGTTAAGGAATATTCATAATAATAGATTGTAAGTTACCTTTGCCACTCACTTGCAAATATGAAGTTAAAAAAGAAACTAGCCGTAGTTAAGATGAAGATTTGATTTTTGGAAACTAAAAGATGTTTTGCACCTTTTTGTTTTATGGTCCCTTGAGTCTAACTTTTTATTGTAAGTTTAACTTAGTGAAGTACATGTTAGCATTATTCTACAGCAGAATTCTGTACCAAATTATCATAAAACTTCTGGGCTACTTTATTTGTGATTTCTATTTCCTGTTGAGAGTTGTTCATATTTTGGAAATTAATAAGGGAATCTCTTTCACATTAAACTTTATTCCATAGTCAGTGTCAGCTTTTCAGGATGTTACTTGAGATTTTAAAAAAGGATAACTTTAAGATATACAACAGATATTAAAGCAAAGTTCAGTGAACCAGCTTCTCCAAGGTACCTCACATGACAGCCTTTTTAATGATATACTTGATTTATTTTTTACTGCAGTAGATTATTAACAATGACTGCATATTTTAGTTACAAGGTTAACATAAATTCCATTTACAAAATATATTTTCCTGCTTTTTATTTCTTAAAGAAAAGTCTATTGAAATATATGATGATGACATTTTACTACAACTTCACTTTTACAAACTTAGAGCATATAAAACTCATGAAACTAAGTGGTTTTTGTCACTTAAGAAATATTTCCATGAAAATACTTATTCTTAGAGTTGTCAATCTGAGCAAAGGACGGACCCCAGATCATGATCATATTCCATCTGATAAAAAAGTTTTGTGATTTTATTTATAATATTTTGTTTCTTTATTTTCCCATTTATATTTTCAAAATTTCTACAGAACAGCCTTTTCCAATAAGGATAAAACACAATGAAATAATTAAAATAAAAACACATGAAGTAGCAACAGACAGTTGGGGTAAGAAAAGAGACCGAAGTAATGAGAGTTCAGTTGAACTTGAATTCAAGTTCTGCCAATTTTACCTGGCAGTGATTTCAGGTCTGTGATTCCTTTGGCACATTTTAATAAGCTACATTCTCCCTGTTGATCATTTAACTGGAAATCTCAGTACAGTCAATTCTCATTATTCATAGTAGTTATGTTCTACAGAGTCTCCAGGAATACTGAATTAGGGAACACTGAACCATTGCTCCTAAGGGAAGTACAGAATTAGATTCCTGCAAACCTCTGGTCACAATGGTCATTTTTATCAGTTGATCAGTACATACCCTGTTGTATGTGTATTTCTGCTTAAAGATACCTTATATATATTGTTATATATATATTATTGACTCATTAACACTGAGCTCAAAACTAAACTCATGCCAGAAAGAAGCTTATCCAACTCACATATTTTCTCCAGAAACACTAAACAGCATTTCAACACTATTCTTGGGGTAATTTTAAACAGTAAAACGCCAACGAAAGGCACAAAAGTGCAAAATGCATTGTACTAAGTAGACCATGAGGAAGATGCTCAGGTGTCATATAAGAGCTGAAACAAGAAGGCAGCGTCCCCTTGTTGGACCTCAGTGGGGAACTTGTTCCCCAGGGGGACTCAGATTTTTTTGCTACTCTGTGCATATCTGCAAATGACTATGAAAGTGCTCTGAGCATTGATTTGGGGGTTACAAGTCTTAGTGAGTAGGCAGATTCGCAAATACAGGATCTGTGAATAATGAGGATCGACTGTGTAATCTTTTCCAATTGGTGAAAATTACAAAACTATAATTTTTTAAAGAGTTTTTTGATATTCTTGTGATTTTATGGTGCAATTTTTAGTGATTTAATCACGGCAAAAATGAACTAAAGGAATAGAGAAATGGTTATGCTGAAAGCCAACAAACAAGGATATCAGTGCTTGTTTGATTGTTAAGGAAAGCAAAATGGAAGGTTCTCTGAGCTATTGTAGGACTCTTTTACTGTTACTTTTTATTGAATGTCTGCACGTCAAATGCCTGGTGTTCCAAGTTCCTCTATATTGTAACTGAAAAGTGCTCCAAAACAAGGATGTAATTCCTGGCTATGGACATTTGGGTTGAGCATTAGTCAACATGTGAGTCTCCTGGAAAAACACCCTTCTGAGTCCATCTTACTAGGAATTTTGATGCTATATCTTACCAGAAATCCATGTGATGGGGGGTTACTTCTCTTTTTTTCTGTTTATTTAAATAATGTCTAGATTTTTCTTGTTCTTTGGGAATATTAGGCTCTATTCCAAAAATATTTATATCCTAGCACTATTTTTTTATTATAAACGTACATATTCTTATCCATGTTTATACCACAGGTACATGCAGAAGTGGTCATTTATTTTTGGTAACCAGAAAGAGCAGATGTTAGGGTTGATGTATTGAATTGTTATTAAAAAGACTTATTTCTAAAGCAGATAGTTTCACAGGGTTTTGTTAACTTACCATTTGACTGCTGTTCAAATTAATAGTAATTATCATATGGAATTTGAAAAGTGATTTATTTTTAAGGTGTTCCGTTGATTTCCTCTTCATGATGTGTGATGTATGCTGACAGAAAAGGCTACTTTAAAATTACGTGTTCTGTTAAAATATATCCCTGGGCCCAACGTGGCCTCGACAGAAGCCTGCTTATATCCCAGCAGGTTGGTACTAGTCCACTGTGCTCCACTTATTTCACTGGCTAGAGCACCAGAGTGTTGTAGCAGACAATTTTTTGTTTTGCTCCTGTTGCTTTCTTTTTCTGAAGGGCAGGCATGTATTTGTTGTGCCAAGTTCTTTAAAAGGAAGCCGACTTGCCAACAGGTTTGTGGCGGTTCCCTGGGATGTCAGAGGAGGGGAGATTTGTAAGCTGGTGATAATCAAGCCCCTGCAAAACCCTTTAGGCAGTTGACTGAGCTGTGGATGACATGTACACTGTAGAGCTAGGACTTGTTTACGCGTATCTCTTGGCCTGCTGTCAAGAAGATAAGAACTCTTCTCGTACTCCAAAGCCTGAGAAAGGGTGATGCAGGAATCTGTTGGGTGGCACCTAATCCTCCTTTTATTA